CTACAAGAAGACATTGGTCCCTAGGAGCCAAAATTACAGTTGGCTCTCACCATTCAATATGAACGCAGGTCCTCTGCAAGAGCAACAAACGTTCTTAACTAAAGAGCCATTTCCCAGCCCCTACTTCCTCCTCCTTTTGTTCTGTCTGTCTGTGTAGTCCTGGCTGTCCTAGAACTCACTCTGTAGACCAGGCTGGCCTCTGCCTCCTGAATGCTGGGATTAAAGAAGTGTGCCACCACCTGGCTTCTTCCTCCTCTTCTCTCTCTCTTTTTTTTTTTAAACATATTTTTTTTTGTTTATTCTTGGGGAATTTCACATCATGCACCCCAATCCCACTCATTTCTTAGTCCCTCCATATCTGCCCTTCACCCTTGTAGTGTCCCCTGCCAAAGGAAAATTTAAAAGAAACAATAAAGATAAGAAATAAAAAATACAAATAAGAATATTAATTAAAAAATAAACAAACAGCTGGGTGTTGATGGCACACACCTTTAATCCCAGAACTGGAAAGGCAGAGGCAGGTGGATCTCTGTGAGTTCGAGGCCAGCCTCGTCTACAGAGCTAGTTTCAGGACAGCCTCCAAAGTAATACAGAGAAATCCTGTCTTAAAAAACCAGTGAATAATAAGTAAATAAGCAAGCAGACAAAAAACCCACTTTGCTCCTCCATCTTTCCCGCCTCTCCATTCATCTTAGTGGCATTGGGACCTGCAGCGTGTCATCCCTCCTCTTTAGTTTTAAACATCTTTTATTTTTTTTCATATTCCAATCCCAGTTCCCCCAGCCTCCTTTCCTCTCGATCCCCCCATGGCTCCCCCTAGCTCTCTTCTGCTCCTTCCCCTAGGAGGTCTACTAAGTCTTGAGGCAGGACCAAGGCTCCTCTCCATCCCCACACCCCTGTGTCTAGACTGGGCAAAGTATCTCTCCATATAGAATGGGCTCCACTAAGTCAGTTTGTGTGTTAGTGTTGGATCTTGGACCCAGTGCCAGTGGCCTCATACATTGTCCCAGCTGCACCATTGTCACCTATACTAAGGGAGCCTAGTTCAGTCTTATGCAGGTTTCCCATTTGTCAGGCCTGAGTCAGGGATCTCTCACTAGCTTGGGTCAGCTGATTCTGTGGGTTTCCCCATCATGGTCTTGACTCCTTGTTCATATTATGCCTCCTTCCTCACTTCTATTGTACTCCAGGAGCTTGGCCCAATGCCTAATGATTAGTTGTGGATTTCTGCATCTGCTTCCATCTGTTTCTAGAAGAAGGTTCTAGCTTCTCTGGGGTTGTGGATTGTAGGCTTTATGTCTGGTATCCACTTATGAATGAGTACATACTATATTTGTCTTTCTGGTTCTGGGTTACCTCACTCAGCATCTCACCTGACAAGACAGGATCTCACCATATAGATGTCACTGTGTAGATCAGTCTTGCCTCTGTGTCTCCCAAATGCTGGGACTAAAGGCATGTGCCACCATGCTTCTATGACTTAAGATACAACATGACCAGCTGCCTCCAGCTGCTGCCATCATGACCTCTCTAGCATGAACTACAAGCCCAAATCAGTCAGTATCAAGACTGTGTAAGGTCCTCTAAACTGAGTGTTAAAGTAAGGGTTGTGATAAATACATGTAAGAGGACCCATGAAGATGTTCAAATCTCAATCCAAATGAAAATGCCATTAATATTCACACTGATGCCTTGCATCAGCTTGGACCGAAGTGAAAATGGATACAGGTTTTAAAAATTGGGTCTCCTGTGTCCTGTGGTGAATGATTTTACACCAGGTTGAACAGATTTTTCCAAGCATGCCAGTATCCCTTTCCTGGGTTTTTTTTTTTTTTTTTTTTTTAGCCCAGGCTGTCCTGGAACTCAGAGATTTGCCTGCCTCTACCTCTGGAGCACTAGGATTACAGGTGTGTGCCAGCAAGCTTGGCTTTATGTGCCCTTGAATAAATGAAGCTGAAGTCTTCAAGAATCCTCTTGCAAGGATATTTACAGCAGCTTCAGTCAGTCCCCTTCCACCGGACAGCAAACTGAAGTCCCTCTTCACAGAGAGCACATGGGGGCAGACAGAAAGGAACCTTGTGCAGCATGCATGAGGCAGACTGGGGAGGCAGGGCGGCATGGGAGACCCTGGCAATAGTTGTAACGGACTCCATACTACATAGAAGTGAGGCGATTTGTACCTTTTAAATTTCATTTTTTATTTTATGTATGGTTTGTGTTTGTATTTATGTGTGGGTATGCATTGGTTAGAAATAGATACTGGGTATTTCTGCTTCTAATGCTTTCTATCCTGTGTCTGTCTGTCTGTCTTTGGTGGCTAGTTTTATGTCAACTTGATACAGGATAGAGTCATTTTGGAAGAAGGAGTCTCAACTGAGAAAATGTCCTGTTTTGGGATATTTGGTCACACTGTGAAATTCTGAGACTGTATTAATAAGATTAACCTTAGCGAGCCAGCAACTAGTTGATAAGAATTAGCCATAGAGAGCACAAAGGACTTGGAAAGATGAATAGAGAGATCCACAGGAAGCAGTAAGGAAGCAATTAGAGATTGTCAGGCCATTTTTGTTTGGGATAGATGGAGAGATGCTCTCTTGCTGAGTCTCCAGCCAAAAAGGAAGATCATCTGGTTGCTTCTCTGATCTAGCAGATTTTCATTCCAACATGTGACTCCCCAGTTTATTGGTAAATGGAACAACTTAGATAAAAATAGCAATGTCCCCACTAGATCAGCCTGTGGTAGAGCCTGCCCTGCACTTTTGTGACTGATGATTGATGCAGGAGGGATCAGCTCACTGTGGGCAGGGCCACCCCTGGATGGCATGAGAAGGCATGAGCAAGCCACGAGCAGCCAGCTGGTAAGCAGCATCCCTCCATGACCTCTGCATCAGGTTCTACCCTGACTTTCCTCAGCATTGGACTGTTACCTACAAGTACCTATTTGTGTACACTGTAAAGATGTGCCTTTGCCAAGGTACCCACTGATTGATTTAATAAAGAGCCGAATGCCCAATAGCTAGGCAGGAAGAGGTTAAGTGGGACTTCTGGGGACAGAAAGGACTCTGGGAAGAAGATGCACAGGAAACAGGATGGACACTACAGAGATGAGGTAACTAACTTTGTGAAAGAATGTAGATTAAAAAGTACGGATTAGATTTCTATTTTTGTTTCCACAGAAAATGAAAAGCTGTGGATTCCTTCCAGACTAATGTGGTTTGATCAAGCCAGACCTCCTGAAACAGAGTACAAAGTGATCCTACATTCAAAACAGCTGGACAAAGCAGCCTTGCAGACTACAGCCAGGATTTCTGCATCTTCTTAGAATCCCCCATGACAGCGCCCCTTACCAGCAGGAAGTAGTTTGGAAAGAATGACGCCCACATTCCCAAATATTGTCTATAAATGTTTGTTTTCATTTAAATGGACTTGGTTATAAAAATAAATAAATAACTAAATAAAATAAATTTGAATAAACAAAAAAAAGTACGGATTAACGTAAATTCTAAGAACTAGTTAGGAACAAACCTAAGCTAAAGCCGAGCTTTTATAATTAATAATAAATCTCTGGGTTGTTATTTGTGAGCTGGTGACCCAAAGAAAAATCCTACTACAAGACTGAACTTTTAAAATGTTTGAATTTTTAAAGACTGTGGGGCTTTTAAAAGTTGAAATGTTTTATACTGTGATATTATTAACAGGAGATTATGGGATGAACAAGAAAGGAAAGTATTTAACAGTTATGTGTATCTCAAGATGACAAGGTTAATTGTCCTGGCTAGTTGTTCTGTCAGTTTGACACAGGTTAGAATAATTTTGGAAGAGGGAATCTCAACTCAGAAAATGCCGCTACCGGACTGGCCTTTGCATTTTCTTGATTAATGATTGATGTGGGAGGCCTGTTCACTGTGGGCAGTGTCACCCCTGGGCTGGTGATCCTGGGCTGTATAAGAAAGCAAGCTGAGCAAGTCAGTAAGCAGCATCCTCCATGGCCTCTGCCTCAGCTCCTGTCTCCAGGTTCCTGTCCTGCTTGAGTTCCTGCCCTGACTTCCCTCAGTGATGAACTATTACCTGGAAGTGTAAGCAAAATAAGCCCTTTCCTCCCCAAGTTGCTTTGGTCACAAGGTTTTATCACAGCCATAGAAGTCCTAACTAGGACACCATCTTCTGTCTGTCTGCCTGCCTGCCTGCCTGCCTGTCTGTCTAGCTGAGACCGGGTTTCTCTGGAGATTCATTTGCTTCTGCCTTGACCCTGTCGGAAGTGCTGGATTACAGACATGTGCCACCACACCCGCTTTTATGTATGGGCTATGCCTCTGATCTCGGCTCCTCCTGCTTGCACAGCAAGCACTTTACCCACTGAGCCATCTCTTTAGCCCCATTTTTTTTTTTTTTTTCATTTTTTGAGGCAAGGTCTCGTGTGACCCAAGCTGGCTTTGAACTCAGAGGGTGACCTTAAACTTCTGATCTTTCTGCTTCCTGAGTGCTAGGGTTGTCACTATGCACCTGTGGCTTCATGTGGTGCTGGGGCTTGAACACAGGGCTTTGTACATGCTAGGTAAATTATTGTACCAACTGTGCCATGTCCAGGCCCTGTACCTTATGTTTTTAAAAAACCCAACAGGTCTAAATGGCTTCATCTGCCTCTCCTACTTTTGCAGGTTTGTAGCACCCAGCCTTCTAGCCCTGGATTCTCAGGCACCTGTTACCTGACTCCGCTCTGGCCTGGCCCAAATGAGTAGGTCAGAGGGCAAGGTCCACAGTAATGGGGGGGGGGTCCTTCTCTGTCATTCCCAGGACAGTTCTAAAGTTCACCCTGAGCACTTGGAGCACTGCCCTCTCTCCCTTCCCAGGAGCAAGATGTAACCCAGGGTTGATACAGAATAAAACTAGTAGAAGGCAGACCCTGAGCAAGAGATAGAGAACAGACCTGCCCCTCCCACCACAGCCCCAGGTTCAAGTGGGTGGAGACAGGGTGTGGAGGACAGCAGGTTCGCAGGTCGGTTGCACCCAGAACATAACTTCCTCCAGCTACTCTGGAAGGTTGGCTTCTGGCTCAGGTGAGGGACCAAGGGGCTGTTCTGGTCTGTGGACTGGCTCTGGGAGGGGACTGCCTGTCCTGGGTGAGGGATGTGTCTTGTCCTCTTTTTAGCCTCAGGAGCTACATTCTCTGAGGTGAGGTCTGCGTCTTCTTGGTTCCTGCCTGTGATCTATTTGTCACTGTGGCTTGGGTGCTGGTTAGGTCATTTGTCCTTTCCTTCTCAGTCTCACTTCCCTCAGAGGCACGTGCTTCACTTAGTCTGTTCCCGGGGTCCTAACCTCTGTTTGTCACTCATGAAATGCTGGGAGTGTCTTCATTCTAGGAGTATACGCCACAGGATACAAAGGACAGAATTTCAAACTGTTGGAGGCTCAGGGAACACTCTGGCTTTGACCAGTCCAGTGATCCATTATGAGGCTTGCCTTGAAGCAGGGTTGACTGGGAGTTGCCTAGGGACTCTGCACATTGGTGGGCTGGAGTGGGTGAGGACTCAGAATCCCTGCTGGGCTCTAGGATAGAAAAGAGTGTAGCTGTCCCTGGGTACCAAGGATAATGGCATTCCTTGGTCAGCCTTGGTGAGCTGCCCAGGTTCATTCAGGGTCAGCTAAAATCTTTCAGATCCCTATCAGAGAAACCCAAGTTTAGGATTTCTAAAAGAAACAGATGCCGTTGTTAAGAAGCATAGAATACTAGCTGACCTCGTGAAGGGCCCGCACCTGGCCCCTGGACTCCCAGAGAGAAGTCCTGCACTGGGAGTCCTTGGTATGAAGCCCTGAGTTCATTCCAGCTCAGTTCAGGCTCCTTATGGGGAGTCAAGACAGCAGGGGCCTAGAAGGCGAGGGAGTTTCCGCAAGGCCTGTCTAGGGGTTCACATGGGGCCCCATTTAGCCGTTGATAGTGGCATCAGAAATGGCTCTCCTGGCTCCACCAGGCTGTGCCCTCGTGTACTGGCCCCCAGGCATTGTGACAATATTGGGTCTGCCCAGCTGGACTCTGGACCCTGATCTTGGCCTCTTTTACTGTGACAGTCCTGGCTACTGACCTAAACAAGGGAGATTGTCTGAGTCCCAGATTTGGCAACATCCGTCAGTTAGGACATATTAAGATCCTTCCTCTAAAAAGCTGGGGTTGGAACAACAGGGTGAAGTCTGAGTGCTGTCCACGTTATCCTTGCAGCCCACCCCTCCTGCCATGGGACTCTCCTTGAAGGAACGGGTCTTCATGGCCCTCTTGGGAATTGCAGCAGCTTCAGGCCTCACCATGCTCATCCTTATCCTGGTGAAGGCAACCAATGTCTTCCTGCCTGCGGACACCAAGGTTTGCTTCAGAGGCGGGACAAGGATGTTGGGCAGGGTGGCCAGGATGTTGGCCTCCACACCTTTCTGATCCCAATGTTGTCCTTAGTTTGGGATTGTGTTTGATGCCGGCTCCTCCCACACATCCCTGTTTGTGTACCAGTGGCCAGCAAACAAGGAGAAGGACACAGGAGTGGTCAGCCAGGCCCTGACTTGCCAGATAGAAGGTCAGTGGGCAGTCCCATGGCAGGTCATTGCGACCTGGCTTGGGCTCCCAGGCAAATGACATGAGGCTCGGTGTGAGAGACCATTTGGTGACAGGTGGAAACTACATTTCTAGTCCTCAGGAAAGCACACCAACCTAATGGACAAGGGCGTACAGTGGTGAAGTGAGGGGCAGGGTCACACAGCTGGGCTGGTTCTGATGAGAATATACACACAGACCTCAGACACCATACCTCCCCAGGCCCTGCAGCTAATACCTCCCTATCTGATCCCACATCTGCTTCTCTGGTTTCCTTAAGTTTCCCATCTAAGTACCACACCACACTGATGACAGGAGCCTCCAAGGGCTGGGCCCGAGTTCATTTCCTGGTGTTCCTCTCATTTCTAGAGATCAAAAGCCTGAGAGGCCCAGGGGTGGCAGAGGCACACTCTCCAGAAGGCCAGAAGTGGGAGAAACATGGGGTTTCCTACCTTTCCATGTAAGGGTTGTAGTCACTAGATTGGGGGCCATTCTGCAACCAAACTAGCCTTATCTATGCATGCCCTCTGTTGTTATTTGAGACAGAGTCTTGCTGTGTAGCCCAGACTGACCTTGAGCCCTCCATGCCCCTGCCTCAGCCTCCTGAGTATTAAGATGATAGGCAAGCACCTTTGTGTCCCATTCAAAAATCCTTAACCTGGGAACTTCCTTCTTCCAAAAATGGTCACATCCACAGGTTCTAAATATTAGGGTGTGTCGTATCTTTGGTGGTCACCACTGAGTCCCAACCTTCAGACCTGGAGCCTTTTCCTAGGGTACTGTATTTCAGGACCTGGGATCTCTTCCTACATTTCTGACCCAACACAGGCTGGGAAAAGCCTGAAGAGCTGCCTGGAGAAGGCACTAGCATTGATCCCACAAACCCAACATCAAGAGACGCCCACATTCTTGGGGGCCACGGCAGGAATGAGGCTGCTCAGGTGAGACAGTAACAAGCTGCATCTGTCAGGGTCCCTCCAGAAAGCCGGGCTTGAATGAATGCCCTGGGCTGAGGCACAGTGGAGGTTGGCGTAAGGCTTTCCTCCAGCATGGCCCTCTCTACCCAGCCAGAAAAACAGCTCTCAGGCAAGTGACATCCTAGCTGCAGTCTCCCAGACACTAAGCAATTCTCCTGTGGATTTTTGGGGTGCCAAGATCCTGACTGGGAAGGATGAAGGTGCCTTTGGTTGGATCACTATCAACTATGTCCTGGGAATGCTCCTCAAGGTGCAGGGGCAGCCCAAGGGTAAGGGGTTGGTCTGAGAGGTCAGTGCCTGGGGCTGGCTGGCCAGAATCTAGGGCCAGTGTGGCTGCCCAGATCTAAGCATTTCATCTGTGATCAGTATTCCTCTGGACAGTGGATCCTGCCTGAAGAGAAGATGCTGGTTGGTGCTCTGGACCTGGGTGGGGCCTCCACCCAGATCAGCTTCGTGCCTCAAGGCCCCATCTTGGACCAGAGCACCCAGGCTACCTTCCGCCTGTACGGTGCCAACTACAGCATCTATACTCACAGCTACCTGTGCTTTGGGCGAGACCAGGTCCTAAGGAGGCTCCTAGCAGAGCTGGCACAGGTTAGGCTGGTGTTTGAAGGGCAGAGATGTGGGGAGGCATGGTGTAGAGTAGCAGGGCTTAGAGTTCATGCCCTTTCCTCTCTCTGCAGAGAAGCCCAGTAGCCCTGGTCAGACACCCATGCTACCATAGCGGCTACCAGGCCACACTGCCACTGGCTCCACTGTACGAGTCACCCTGTGTCCACACTACAGATTCCCTGAACCTCACCCAGAACATCACAGTTGAAGGGACAGGCAACCCTGGGGCCTGTGTGGCAGCCCTCCAACGTCTCTTCAATTTCTCCAGCTGTAAGGGCCAAGAAGACTGTGCTTTCAATGGTGTCTACCAGCCTCCTGTGCGCGGTCAGTTCTATGTAAGCACCGCCCACAAGCTCTGGCTGCCTTCCGGGGCGCCCCAGGTGCCCTTGGGACCACAGGGGCTCCAAGGACAGTTTGGAACAGGAGGTACCTCGGGTGGCTCCTGGGGATTCTGAAACTGGAGAGAATACTTGTCTAAAGTGTGGACTGCCGCAGCATTCTCTACTTCCCCCAGGCATTTTCCAACTTTTACTACACTTTCCACTTCCTGAACCTCACCTCCAGGCAGCCACTGAACATTGTCAATGACACTGTCTGGAAGTTCTGTCAGAAACCTTGGAAACTGGTAAGTGACTCTGAATGCCAGCCCTCACCCCCTCTGTATACCTCACCATGGCAAGCAGGGCTTCTGGACTCTTCTTACTGGGTTTGCTGGACAGAGATTTGTGGTAAAGCCAGGACTGGGGAGGAAAACACCGTGGTAGGGAGAGTGGCTTGCTTTGGGTAGAAAGGTCTCCAGGGCCCTGTCAGGATCAGCTTCTGGTTGTCATGACGTTGGTGGCCCCACCCACTCCTAGCTGGAGGATAGTCTCCACAGGGACTTAGGGCTTTTGAAAACATTTAACGCTTTCCCGATGTCTGGAAACTGTTTGGATGTATGGAGATCCCACTATGGCTAGGAGGGGAGTGCCCTAGCCTTGGGGCCTCACTTTTTCATTGGCTTCTGGAACTCAAGGTGGAAGCCAGCTACCCCGGGCAAGAACGCTGGCTACAGGACTATTGTGCCTCAGGCCTGTACATCCTGGTGTTGCTGCTGGAGGGCTACAAATTCAGCGAGGAGACTTGGCCCAACATCCAGTTCCAGAAGCAGGTGATTGCCAGCATGTCTGATTCAGGGTGAGAATGGGATGGGGCCTACGACAGCCATCCAGCAGCCCTGAACAGCATGTGTCTCACAGGCAGGTGGCATGGACATTGGCTGGACACTGGGCTACATGCTAAACCTTACAGGCATGATTCCAGCTGAGCCACTGAGCCAGTGGCGGGCGCAGAGCTACAGCATCTGGATGGCTGGAGTAGTGTTTGCAGTGCTGACCCTTGTGGCCATTCTAGGAGCTGCTGCAGTCCAGCTCTTCTGGACCCAGGACTAGATAAAACCAAGCTGAAACAGATCGCAGATGCAATGCACCTGAAGCGATTCAAGTGCTGGGATTCAGCAGCAACAACATAAATGTTTGCACTGTCTACCTTGTGAGCCACCATCAACTGCCCTTAGCAAAGGAAGCCTTTAGCACACAAGACACATCCTGGATGCCTGCCTTCATGAACCCCAGACTATTAAGGGGTCCAGTCCATCGAGCAGACCAGGAGGACCAATTCCTGACAATACTGGCTCCCCTCTGCCCTCAGGGTGACACTGGCTATGGGGTCTGTAATCTTCCAAGGAATGGACCAGGAAGGGGTCTGGGAGGGGCAGCTGTGGGACTAGGGCTACCTCCAAAGGCTGTGGCCAGCGCAGCAGAGACCCCTGCTTATTCGCTATAACCAGACTGGACCAGACAGCCAGAATCCAGATCTGTGGGCCAACCCAGCTTCCCTCTCCCAAAAACTTGTGGTTGGATCCCCTTTATCTCAGTCCCAGAAGGTAGAACACATAGGGATGAGGGGAATAGGTTTTTGTTTGTTTAAATTAAAACTGCTCTTATCACAACATGTATTGCTAGTGCTGGTCTCCTAGCTTGAGTCCTGGAATGGGTAGGGCTTCCTCATAGGCCCCACTGGGACCACAAAGCACTTGGGAAAAATGCCGATGCAGCCATCTCGGTGTCCCTCCAGCCATGCTTCGTCCACTGTGGAGACATGTTGGATGGTGTGCCTACTTACAGCAAAGACCGAGCCCTAGAGAATGAAGCCCCCACCAGGCCTGGGCAAGCCAGCAGTGTTGGGGAAGGGCAGTCTGGGTCTACCTTCACACAGAACATCCACTGTGTCCCCTTGGTGGAAGCCCAAATCCTCAGGCCTTTGGGCTGAGTAATCATGTTGAGCAAGCACCTGGTACAGGACTGGTCGGCCCCAGACCCCCTGTGGCAGAAAAGTGGGCTTCAGGGGTGGCACAAGAGAGGGGCTTCCCCTCCACCTGCCTGGGCTGCCAACAGTAGGCATCACAGCCCCACCCCACCTCCCCCTCACCCCCTCACCCTCTGCTCACCCGGCACTGGAGCTGCAACCCTCTTGGGCCCATGGTCACATTCCTCCAGACACCCTGCAGTGATTCCTCTGTGGGGATAGGGACCCAGAACCTCTCCTCTCCTGGCACTTGGTAACTGCAAAGGGAGTTTGGGCTACAGTATGTGGGGGAGTGCCTGGTGTCGCTCTCCAGTCCTGGCCCTTACTTCCAGTGGCTGCATAGGATCTAGGCATAGAGCTAAGAAGGCCTTAGCTTTGGTCCCTTCTTAGGCCTGAAAACCTAGGACAGCCGTCACTTCCTTGTAGCTCGGATCCACCCTTTTCTCCTGGGTCCCCTCCCTCGCAGCTTTTGACTCACCTGAGCTGCCCCATATGTGCCTGGTGAAGGAGGGCTTGAGCCAGCAATGATCGGAGACTGGACAGGTCAGTGTCTCTTGGGGCCTTCAGGGGCACCGTAAAGTGGCACTGCACAGTGACACTCACCAAAGATTCAGGGTCCTTTGCTGGTGCTCCCTGAGGACAGGACAGAGACAGGATTGTGTAGCCTTTGAAAGCAGGCGGTCCTTAGACTCAAGGGGTCAGGGTAGAGGCTAGGCTGAAAGGAGGAAGACGGAATCTGAGCTAGGGCCATCCTTGCCCCAAGTGGCTAGTGAGGAGAGATTAAAGGGCAGGATAGCTCTTACCCCAGATCCTGAGGAGTCTTCAGAGGGGCCCTGGTCATGCCGTCCAGATGCCAGCAAGTCATAGCACAGAGCACGGCTCATGGGACCACCTTTCCACAAAGGAGACACTTTGTAGTAGATGAATGACTGGCAGGTAGCTGTCTCCAGCCCCAAACTTCCTTTAAGGGACAAGTGTCCATGTCCCAGCTCTCCTGAGGCAGCTCCCCCTACCCCTATTGTTCACGATCCTCTTACCAGTGGATGGAGGAGACTGATGGCCAACCTGTTCCACCTGGAACCTCTGCAAAGGAAGACAGGGGTAGCAGGACCTCAACAGTGTCAGTCCTCACACACGTCATCTGCAGCCATCTGGATATGTTTTGTTTAGTTGGTTTTGTTACCTCTTACATTATGCAGAACAATTTTTGTATAAATGGTTTAAAATTTATTTATGCAAGATCTGAATGCACACCAGTGTTTTATTATATAGAATGCCAACTTTTCTTCAGGTGGGAGGACTTACCCTGGACTTCATCAACATAAGGAGCCCACCTACAGATGTGCCCAGGTGTGACAGGGGGCTATGACCTTCCACTTAAAAGCATGTTTAACTGGATGTTGAGAGCCTACTTGGTATGTCAAGAAGTTACAGGGCATGTTGTGGATAATTGCAAAGTACAGTTCAGGCAAACCACTTTGCCAAGTTTCAATAGAGAGTTCACCTTTTCCTAAAAATTTTACAATTCAGACTTCACCCTTTACACTCAGGAGGGTTTTGCTCCAAGCATGATCTCTTGTATTCTGTCTGCGTAAATCTAATTTATACCTTGAGTCAAGTAGATTAAATGTGTTCATAGCCTCCTTTCCTTCCCCCCTCCTTTGAAGTATTCAGTTCTCATTGAAGCTGGTAACCTGGCTATTCTCTAATTGTCAAGTTCTGCATTCATAGAGCACTGCTGAATGGTGCTGTTTGCTTAACACCCCCTGATGTGGTTTTACCTTTACAAAAATTCCTCCCCCTGCCCCGCAAGGGTGTAGTCCTGGGGTGGGACCTAGAGTATAGGGGTCTTGAGGTGGTGGGTCTGGGCTCAAGGGAGCAACTCCTTGGGTTCTGTCCTGGCATAGCCAGTGGTTAAGGATGTAGTCTTGGAGCCTGGCGAGCAGTTAGCAGGAAGTTTAGGACTAAATGCATGGTAGGCCCAAGTCCTAGGCACACCTAGGTACAGGGCTGAGTCTATGAACAGGGTGCCTGGTGTTCTTGTGGAAGCTTCACCCCAGCCCCTGGCATTCATAGACCCAAAGAGTCCCGGATGTTCTGGTGGAAGCTCCACCTAAGCCCCCTCCCAATCTCTCTTCAAATCCTGCTGCATCTCAGAAAGCCCACCAAATGATGCTTTAGCTAAAGACCACTCCCGCAGGGTATTTAAACTGGCCCCCAGAAAATGGTCACGTGGTTTTCCAGTCTCTTTTCCATCTTCTTTCTGGGGGGGGCTGGAAGGCCATCCAGGAACTCTATATCCATTAAACATGGGCTTTTTCTAATTCAGTGTAATTTGGTCTGATTTGGATTACTGCATTGATGGAGAGGCTTATCGGGGTGCAGAAACTTTTCACCTAGCACCACTGAGCACTTCCCAGGCATTCTATTGATCCCCAACTCCAGTTTTGTGACTTCTCCATTGACCCTGAGAAGCCCAGGACAAACTCTAAATAGGTGCCTAGCCTCGGGTGCCCTGAGTTGGCGAAGAGGTGAAAACCTCTAACCTCTGTTGGGCACTCATGGGTGGCTGTGGCTTGTGAACTGGTTTTAAAGGGAGACTGTGGAAAAGCAATGTGTGGCCCTTGTGAGGTTTACAGCCCAGTACAGGAGCTGGTAAATGCAGGTTTAAGCACCTGGAGATTTTGAGATTAGCTGTAAAAGTTTGCTGTTAAAGACATTGAACTATTGGATTGGGATGAACTGAATACTGGGCAGAACTAAAGTGGAGGTGACTGTCCTGTGTCCTGTAATAAGGCCATGTCAAACATTCTCCTAAAGTGCAGCCTGGCAGCAAGGGGTTCTGTCTAACCACTCCTCACCCAGGCACAAGTGGCTCTGATGGCTTGCAATAGCTAGGAAGGAGGTTGGCTTTGGTTAGGCCTTCCGACATGTCTTTCCCCAGACTGTCATGTGATCTGACCACTGTATGTCCAACAGAGGTTCCTACTTTCTGCTGACAGCCCTATCTGGTCCTGTGGTAGGTCTGAGTTTGTGCCAGTGAGTTGACCTTACTAGCCCATCCCCTGAGGTCAGGTCACTATGACTGACTCTTACAGTATCCCCAGCCTGGTTGTCAGTGAGGCTGCCTGCCCTCTCAGAAGCTTACACTTACTCTTTGGCTCATGACAAGTGAATGGATGGAAGTGACCAGCCATCCCTGCCAGGTCAGAGCTGTCCCTCGGGAGTGGGAATGTGGTGGATGGCAACTCTTTGAAGGTCTAGGTTTCATCCCATCCGTAGGAGAATGGGTACCCTCATTCTCAAGGCTTTCCCACCATGTGGCTCAAGCCCTTGGCTCAGCCTGCCTAAGCCTTATTTTCCTCATCAGTACACAGTTCTGAAAAACCAGGCAAAGATGGGCCTGGGTCTGCTCCATGCCTGCGCACCTACCTGCTGAGGCCAGCCATCTGTGTTGTGGTGGTCAGGGATGACAGATGCCACCACCTAGGGAGGGCAGGGATACAGCTGGATTAGAGCCCCATGGAGTCCTCTCCTCCAGGTCCCTAGTTCCCAGCATCTCTGTGGCTGGAATCTGTAGGGTGTGGGCTGCCTACACCTAGCTCAAGAGGGCTGGATCACTACAGCTTAAAAAGAAAGTATGACCAAGAGAAACATGTACTACTAATATCAACTCAATTTTAGTGCAACTTTTTCAATCTTTCTGTCTCTTGTAGCAGTGGTCTCAGTGAACTGTGATGGGTGCATAAGTCTTCTCCGCCTATACTCAGTCCACCTCAGGGAACATTCACAGGCAGGGTGAACCTCAGGCAGCTGCACATGGCCATACAGTACGGCAGGTCCTGCACAAGTGCTGTGGCAAATGGCCATAGGTGTGTGGCCAGCCCAGAGACCATCGATGCAACTGCAAGTTGGCCTGTCTTTGTGACAGCGCAAGTGACTATTTGCTTGAGTTCCTCTCTTCTATTTGGAGGTGAGAGATGCCACACACATCCCTTCTGGGACCTTGCTGTCTGTAGCAAAGATGGAGAAACAGAAATACAGACACTGGGAGCAACTGGAAGATGAGTGGAAGTGGGGGAGGGGCACCACTGAGGATTCCCATCCAAAGGCTGGAGCCCAACCCCCCCCCCCGCCCCCTTTAAAGCTGACTTCCGGTAAGTTTTGCCTCCGGGAGAACAGCCTCACTCCTAACCCTGGGAGTCTTGTGCCCACTTTCTACCTGTCTGGCTTTCAAGTGGCCTAGGCCTCACACCAATTGTCCTCATAAACACACTGGATATCCAGTATAGGAGCCACCACACCGTAAGCTTGACATAGGCTACAACTGCCAATTTGGCAGCTGAGTACCCAACCTAGAAAGCACCTCTAGTGCTTTACCTTAGCCTTGCCAAGGAAATCCATGGGCTTCAGATGCTGTAGGTATTGCCTGGGCGGCTGGAAGACTTCACCCTTGGGGACTTGCCGTAGCTGCAGGGGTACCTGTTTCTGGAATGGAGCATGTAAACCTGGGTGGCCATAGCTGCCAGAACTCTGAGTCTTGAAGCAGAGGGGCTGCTTGGGATCCCATCATATGTGACATGCTACAGGAAGTATGGGGCTCTCCATGTGCTATAGTTAGTCTTGAGGGCATAAGCTACAGAACCTGGCTCCAAACCAGTGTGATTGTCACCTGCCTTCCTCACCTGCACTTGGTCCAGGGCAGTGTCTAGGATACGTTGGGCCCCATCTGGCCATTTGGAAGTTGCCTCCACTAGAGTGTCAGCAGCCTTGGCCCAAAGCCCTGCCCGGCATTGTGCTGATGCCATGTTGTATAGGACCTAGGAACAAGGGCAGACATGACAGCAGGGGCCAGGCCCCCAAGCTGGTCCTCATCTCAACTCCCCAGTCACAGTAGCTGAAGGTCCTTCTGTGTGTTCAGCTGCATAGGAGCTAAAGGTACAGACCAGGCCACCTGCTTCCTGGCTGCCTGCCTGGCTCAGTTGCCAGATACCAAATGGTCATTCCCTGTTATCTTGTTTACTCCTGGCAGGGCCATGTTTTGCTTTGGGCTTTTCTACTTGAAACAGCAGCAGTAGCTCTCCCTTTCACAGTGTCCCCTTGTGCTGCTGGGGGGGGGGGTAGGGGGGCTGTGTGGTGAGATGGCTGGCTCAGTGGTTAGAGTACTCATTGCTTTTCCAGAGGACTTGGGTTAGATCCCCAACTCTCACATGGTGGCTCACAACGTATTCCCTTGGCTAATACCCTCCTAATTCTATACTCTGACACCCCCCATTAACTGCTCCCTGTACCCCCGAGTCTAGAGTATGTCTAAGGGTTCCCATTGGCTGTCCAGGGAGATTCAGAACCCCACATTCAGAACATTCTAATGGGCAAAGTGGACTGGGTTAAGGCCAACCTACAGCCCCAGTGACATGTGAGCTCTTATGATGCTAGGAACCCATTCTCCCTTCACCCTGGGGAGGTATATGCATAAGAAACCCACTGTTTCCTGTGGCTCGGCTGCTGAGCTAACACCCTTCCCCCACACCTGTCTGTCACTCTGCCATGATCTTCAATTCTATTCTACTTTCTCCCACATGAGCCCATGCTGGCTGGCTCCAAAGTATGTGAGCAGTCTGCTCCGTCCATTGCCACTCCAGCCTCCAATCAAGGAGCTGGGGGATTCAGAGCTCCAAAAGTCTTTAGCTAGACAGGGCATCTCATTCCATATGGCTAACTATGACAGTAACACCAACATAAAGGTGACAGACTCTGGCAACACTGTAGACTTTATCCTAGGACTCCAGCCAGGACCTCAGCCAACATGTTAGGATCCCTATTGCAACCCATGGCAATGGCAGAACCTTAGAACTCCCCCAACAGAACCCTGGGGCCACAGAGAGTACCTCCAAGCCCCAGGGACACTGCGTGGTGTCTGAACTCTGCACACGTGAAATGCCCACTCACCTCCCAGGCTTGCAGTCTGAAGTGCAGACCCAGTTGTGTGTAGTCAATGGCAGCATTGCCCCTCAGCTGTGCCAGGGACAGCTGGAAATCAGACATGGCCTCTTGGAACCTGCGAGCATCAGGGGGCCTCTCAATAGCTACAAGGGAGGAGCTGAGCCTGTGAATGGGTGTTTTTGGGGTACCCCACCCATCCTCCTATCTTTGACAGCTTTGGGAGGCCTGAAGGCAATAGGGGTCACCTATAAATCAGCACTCCATGGGACTCAAGTCCAGACCAGCATGCTTAATGGGAGTTTACTGTCCAATTCCGCTTAGCCTCCGGAGCATTGCTCTCTTTGCCTGACAGGGGCCGCTGCTTACATTCCAAACCCTCTTCCCACTGTCCTGGACTCTCGTTTCTTGCCTCTCGGGTCCAACCTTATGGGGCCTCCTCTAATCTCTGAGCTTCCAACACTGGATGGAATCTGTCCTCTACTAGACTCTCCACTTCTCTCAATCAGTTCTCCTGGGCTGTCTGGAGCCTGCAGCCCTGAATACCCTTCCTCACTCACTCTTGGAAATCTGGGAGGCCATCCACATCCTTGGATAAGCCCTTGTTTTCACACCTGCAAATTGGCTATAAACACAGTGTTCTCACTACTATAGACACGAGGAGGAAAGCAGGGATGTTGAGTGAGTACTGTGAATCTTGACAGAGACAGGACCGGATGTGTGGGCCCCAGCCTAACAAGAGCATCCTCATCCATGCTGGAGGGGATGGGGGAGAGAGGGAAGGAAGTGGGTACAAGCATTGGTTTGCAGAGACAAAGAACCATCCAATAAGGAACAGGGGATCCTGCTGTGCTCACCTCTTCAGCAGGAAATTAGCCACTCCCCGCTGGAAGAAGCCAACAGCCATGCAGGTGTCCTTGGTCACTGCTTGGTCAAATGCCTAGGGACAAAAATGCTAGTCAAACAGCAGACTCAGTAATCCAAGAACCCAATGCCACAATGGCAATGGAAATCTATCAACTGATGAGAACTGCTTGCAGCGGGTGCCAAGCTAGAGCCTGGATAAATGTATCACTGCATAGATTCCTCAGCTGCACCAAAAAAGCTCGGGGCATATCCCTATGGCATAGAAACTCATTTTGTCCACAGTGAACACAGAGCTAAAAGGAAGTGCTCTAAAATGTCAGGAACAGTTATCTCTGGGAGATAGAACTGGGTAAGACTCTTGGCTTTTGTTGTTGATGTGTTTGAGACAGGTTGTTTCTCTGTAGCTTTGGAGACTGTCCTGGAACTCTCTCTGTAGCCCAGGCTGAGCTCAAACTCACAGAGATCCTCCTGCCTCTGCCCCGAGGGCTGGGATTAAAGGTGTGCACCCCCAACGCATGATGACTTTTGGCTTTAAAAAAAATCTCTTTTCAGGGGCTGGAGAGGGCTGCTCTTCCACAGGTCCTATGTTCAATTCCCAGCAAGCACATGGTGTCTCACAACATCTTTAATGGGGCCCGATGCCCTCTTCTGGTGTGCAGGCGAACATGCAGACACAGCATTCACATAAATAAAATGCCATCAATAAATCTTTTAAAATCTCTTTCGGTAGTTCACACAAAATAGCACGGTAGATATCTATTAGAAGCAGAATGCAGTCCTCTGTGTGTAGGCAGCACAGCTACATAAACCAGACACAGAAATGTGTGTGTCCAGAAGGAAAAGCAGCCATCAGTTAAACCTAGTGTAGTTTCCTGATAGCCAAACTGGCCCGGTGGACTGACTGTTGAATTGAATCTGACTTGAAGTTTTCACATGCCACAATCAACCTGGAAACTGGGTGGCTGCTTGCAACTGCATCCAACATTACAAGTTTCACACTGACAGGTTGAAGTGCAACTACATTACACCTGCACCCATAGTTTTCCTTATTGCAGCTGTACCACCTGCTTCTTGGAGTTTCCGGGTGTAACTGATATGCCTAGGCTTGCACATCTATTAACTTTATTGACTTAAGGCAGTGGCCACTCTTGTTCTTATGGCAGAGCATTTCCAGCCCCTCTCTAGGTACAGTGTGAGGAGGTGAGCATGGATTGGCCTAACACATGACTCACTGTTGAACTACCTGGTAACAGATCATTACATTTCCTTTCCTGAACAGTTTTTTTTTTTTTTTTTTTGGATACTTGGTTTCTCTGTATAGCCCTGGCTGTCCTGGATCTTGCTTTGTAGACTAGGCTGGCCTCAAACTCAGATATCTGCCTGCCTCTACTTTCCTAGTGCTGGTATTAAAAGCAGGCACTACCATGCCTGGGTTCAACCCTTTTTGTTTTGTTTTTTAAGACAGGGTTCCTCTGTGTAGTTTTGGAGCCTGTCCTGGCACTCGCTCTATAGACCAGGCTGGCCTAGAACTCACAGAGATGTACCTACCTACCTGCCTCTGCCTCCTATGTTCTGGGATTAAAGGCATATGCCAGCACCACAGCCTGGCAAATAACAGCCTTCTAATGAAGAAGGAATTCTGAAGTAATTGTAGATGCCAATGCAGAGCTGAGAGCTGGCAAGATGTCTCAATGAGTAAAGACACTGCCACCATGCCTAATGACCTGAGTTTGATCACCAGATGCCCCCACATGGTGGAAGGAGAGAACAACTCCCATAAGTTGTCTCCTGACTTACACACACCTGTAAGTAAATAAATAATAATAATTTCAAGAAAGAAATACTAGAAGAGACTGGTGCCTCTCATCTGCATGGTGTCCAGGTAGATCACTGCCATGTGAATGCTGAGTTGGAGGTGGGGAGCTGAGGGTTTCTATCACACACCCAGGAATAGCTGTCACTTTAATGAACATGCAGTAGGGAATACCCTGACTGCCTCCTCTATAGTGTGTGTCCCTGGGTAGTTCTACTCTGAGGAGCAGGTGGGGAGACATAGGAATGCTCAGAACTGGGAAGACTGTGTGTGCCACCATCACTGCAGGCAGAGTCCCAGTCTGTTGACTCTGATCCAGCCTTCAGCCTGTCTTCAAGTATGTCCCTCCCTCAGCCCTGATGGATTGGCCTGGTACAGGACTGATGCATTTGGTCCATGGGGCTGTGTGCCCTGTGCCCCATTCTGGCCACAACTAAGAGATGGGTCTCCCAACCACAAAGCTCCTACCTGCTTCAGGCAGTCACTAAGAGGGGGCATTAGTGTAACAATCTCTAGGTAAACGACGAGGTAAAAGGGTAGGGATTCTTCTCCTTCCAGGCAGCTATGGGGTGGAGAAAGGGCATCCTTTTCTAGGGTGTCCATTGAAAGATAAGGATTCCTGCCCACCATCACGTCTTCATTTGCATTCCCCTATAGGCCTCCACCAGGGATGGGGGCGAGGGTCTCAGACACCAGTCCCAGGGTGCTTACCCGTAACGCAGCCTCGGGATCCCCAGCCATTAGGTGCACGCAGCCCATATTGAAATAAATCTTGGCCGGCGGCTCCCGGACGTCTGAGAAGAGGCACAGCGCGCAGTCCCAGTCTTCGCGTGCCACGGCCAGTACGCCCTGGTGCCAGTTCCGTACCTGATCCCCTAGAGAGCTCATGGAGCTGGAGATACCTGCTGTGCCGCGAAGGAAGTTGGAGAGTCTAGCCCGAGAGTGCGGGGCTGGAGGAGGGTGTCCCACAGAAACTGGGGGGCTGTGGGCCAGGGACAAGGCTACTGTACAGCAGAGAAAAGAAGCTGGTGAGACCCGACTAATGAGCCCACAAGACACCTGGGGTTGATACTCCCTGTGGTGACTGACTAGGGGACACGAAGCCCCGCCCCCGTCCCAGGCCCCTCCCCTAAGCTCCCTTGAATCCCCTGGGCTGAGGACTGGGTCTCCGACCACATAGCCACGCCCCTTCATCCTCTAAGTCTGTCCTCTCCCTGGCCCAGCTCAGCACCAATAAGACCACGCCCACCTCCATTTGGACCTTCCCTCTCATCTACCTCGTTCGGAGTTAATGCCTCCCGCCCGATGTGACCACGCCCCTTATTCAAGCCTGGCCCACCGCATCTTTCCCTCTACAAACTCAGAACTTCAATGGACCGTGGAAGAGTGTTCAGGGGAAAATCATCCGGAAGCGCTGCAGCGATCGGGCCAAGTTCCCTGAGACAAGTGTGGACAGTGTATGGCAGAGCTGCCTGCGCAGTGGTCAATGACTTCAGGCCAGGTGGGCAGCCTGAAGGATAAACAGTCCAAGGATTGACAGGGTTCAGCCCCGCCCAGTGCATGTCCTTCTGAAGTAACCGATGGAGCTACAAGCTGGGCAGGACTGGCTCCCGTGTAACTAGCCAGGGCCCTCAGAAACCGGGTTGGAAGCCTCAGAGTGAACGGTGGTGCAGCCTGCAAGACCTTTCTCCAGTAGTGGGCGCTGACCTGGCTGCTCCTCCCCCTTGCTAGTCTGGCCTTGGAGACTGGGTCTCCTTCCAAGTGCCTTTTGCCCTGTGTGACCACACTGTCCAAAGAAACAACCAGTTGGACAGAGCCTGTGTCTTGTATAGACAGGAGGAGTGGCCCAATATGGACTGTGCAGAGCTCATGGATTTTGATGTCTACCTTTACACATCCTGCCTGTGGATGAGGCCCACCCACAGTCTAAAGCTGCTGATAAAAATCCCTCCTGAGATTTTCTCCTGACCGGGTGTTGGGGCACCATGGCTTGGCCAGGTTGACTCATGTAGCTAGGATCAACTGTAACTTGAGCCCATTCGCCTTCCTTGCCTGGTTGTTGGTCTTCTGTGCTCAAGAGTTACAGCTGATTTTCCCTGTGTGACCCTGGAATGGTTATTTATCTTTCCATACACTTCATCCTTATGTGTAACAATAGCAGTGATCAATTCTGTCCTGGCAAGGCCTTTATGAGAACTGAATGAGATCATGTGGATGGTGTCAATCAACTGTAGATGCTTAGCAGAGCTTGTAATCCTAAATTGACCGGGGCTTTGTGTCCCTTGGCTTTCTTCTGTGGGCTGAGTTTTCCTAAACTTGCTGTCTGGAGTGGGTGGGTGCTGCTAACCTGCTTCCTCTTCCTCTTCCTCCTCCTTCTTTTGGTTTTTCTAAACAGGATTTCTGTGTTTAGCACTAGCTGTCCTAGAACTCACTATGTAGAACAGGCTGGCCTCAAACTCAAGACATGCACCTGCCTCTGCCTCCCAAGTGCTGGGATTAAAGGTGTGTGCCACGGCACCCAGCCTAACCTGTCTTCTTAGGTTCTGGTGCAGCCATTCTGCCCCAATCCCCAGATCCTGGACTGTCCCTGAGCAGGCTGGCCCTCTCTCTTGAGGACTTCTTTCCCTTTTGTTACTCAGTGCCCCTTCCTGGAAAGCCATCTTAGCCTCCATTCCTACCTTCTCACCCATCTGCCCATTTTCTTTTCCATAGATTACAGTTCCTCCTAGAGTGGTCCATAGCCCATGCGGTGGTTTGAATGAGAATGAACCCAGATGGGGGAACTGTTTGGGAAGGGCCAGGAGGTTAGGCCTCAATGGAGGAGGCATGTCACTGGGGATTGGGCTTTGAGGTTTCAAAAACCCTGCACCTCTCACTCTGCTTCATACTAGCCGTTCAAACTCTCAAATACTGTTCTCCCTGCCACCATACTCCTGTCCTGGTGGTCATGGACTCACCTTCAGAACTGGAAGCCCCATATAAATTCTTTCTTCACTAAGTTGCCTGGGTCATGGTGTCTACACAGCAATAGAAATTTAACTAAGACAACCAACTTTCTTAGGTTGCAAGTTGTCCCAAATTCTACAAGGATTTCCTGCTGTTCTCTGATGAAACCCAAATGTCAGTCACAGTGACTTTCCCCTGAGCATGCATGATGTGCTCTCCATAGAGTTCACATGGATCATCATAATGGCCAGATAGCTTATGTTTAAGTCAGGGACCCTGTGGTGTAGCTATAGTCATAGTGTCCTGTTCACAGTATGCCAGTTGGACAGACATATGGTTTTTACCCCTGTGTGGGTCCATAGTCCTTGTGTGACTACCACTTGAGTGGCAGGGCATCCTCTGAGAATTATTTCAAATTCACTCATGAATCTTGAACAAGTGTGGATTATACAAGTCAGGTGGGATGCATGCTCTTGTCCCCCTATTTTCTGAAAAGTCCAAGTGAACTGCAACACCAGCTTCAAAAGACCATACCTGGGGGCTTGAGAAATGGCTCAGCAGTTAAGAGCACTGGCTGCTCTTTCAGAGGATCTGGGTTCAATTTCCAGCACCAACATGACAGCTGACAACTGTCTGTACCTCCTGTTCAAGGGGATCTGCCACCCTCACCCAGTCATCTATGCAGGCAAAACACCAATGTATGTAAAATACAAATAAATAAATAAGTTTTTTAAAGCCCATATCTAAGACCAAGCCTCAGTTTCTCTTTAGGATGGAATGTTCAAGGTGAGTAGGGTATGGGGTTATTTAGCCTCTCCTCCTCTGGCCTTGCAGGGTCTAGAAGGCAGGTGGGAGTAGCCTCTAGTAGTCTCCTTTGTGTACATGAGACAACTCTGTCCCAGGCAGCAATCGTGTCACCCATTTTCCAGTGTACCTGCCAAAGGCCAGGCTTGATACAACCCAGTAACAGCCAGGAGGAGCAAAGCCCTTTGGTTTAGAGAACAGTTCATTGTAGAGGAGACCTCAGCTGTTGGTCCTTGAGCCTGGGAATCCCACAGAGTGGGTGAAACAGAAGAAAGACATTAACAAGTGTGGGTGAGGCTGTGGGGAAGAATGGAAGCCCAAATGATACTACTATCCTAGTGAAAAAGGATCTAGTGATTCCTTGGATGAGTGGAAATATATCCACACAAAACTGGGAAGTACGCTGGGCTTATTCTTAGCACTGGGAAGGTTAATGCAGGAGGATAGTGAATCTCAGGCTAGACTTAGCTACATAGCAAGACACTCCCTCAAATAAATAAATAAAAATAAGAACAAGGAAGCAAACAAACCATATATACAAGTGTTCATAGTGACAGTATTTATAACAGCAAAAAAAAAAAAAGGTGAACAACAGGATGTCTAAAAACAATGATAAATGCATAATCCATCCATATGATTATCTATTACTTAGCTATAAAAAGGCATGAGGTTCTGACATAGCATGGGTGGACTTTGAGGATATATGCCACTCATAAAAATAAGGATACTCTATGATCCTGTTCATGGAAAGTATCTAGAAAAAGGAAATTTGTAGATGTCAAACATAGCTAGAGGAGGAGAGGAGAGCAGGCACTACTGGTAGATGTGGGGTGGTCCCTGGCAGGTCATGAAATGCCCTTTAGTTGAGTTGTGTACTGTACAGGCACTTTCAGAAGGTAAGCTTTACAGTGAATTATGTTGATAAACCGTAGGAAGTTTCTGAGATGCATACAGAAACAGAGGAGGCCTGGGCCAGCCTGGCTGCAGAGGCCCAGCTATGCCAGCCAGTCTCCTCGATATCTACCTTGTCCTGGCTGCCCTGGTACCTCTGGAGTCTGAGGGTTGGTGGTTTCTGTTCCTAGTAAGCCCCGGGTATCAGCTCTGTCCCACTGGAATCTGGACACTCGGTGAGTTTGTCACTTTCCTCTGTGTTACTGAGAGGGTTGGTGGTCATGTGGGCTTTTGTTATGAGGAAAAGGCACTGGAGACAGCCAGCCTGGCACTACATTCCTCAGACAAACCTAGCACAATTACCAGGGATAGTTGAACTACATGTGCGATTCCAGATTTTCTAATAGTACACGGATGTAGTTTGAAAGAAAATGACCCCCAAAGGGCGTGTCACTAATGGGTGGTGTGGCCTTGTCTTGTTGGAGGAAGTGTGTCACTGTGGAGGCAGGCTTTCAGGTCTCATATATGCTCAAATCAGACCTAGTGAGACAGTTCACATTCTGTTCCCTGCAGGATGTAGATAGAACTCTCAGTTCCTTCTCCAGCGCCATGACACTTTGTCTCACATGATGATAATGGACTGAACCTCTGTACTGTAAGCCACCCCAATTAAATGTTTTTCTTTATACGAGTTGCCATGGTCATGGTGTCTCTTCACAGCAACAGAAACCATAACTAAGACATTCACTAAAAAAGAATGAAATTAATTTATTTTTAATTGTATGTACGTGTGTGTATGTGTGTGTATGTGTGTGTGTGTGTGTGTGTGTGTGTGTCTGTGTGTGTGTACACATGGGTGCAGGTGCTCACAGAGAACACCAGATTTCTTGGTTGGAGTTACAAGTGAACACCAGATCCCTTGGTTGGAGTTATAGGTAGTCATGAGTCATTCAGTATAGGTGCTGGGAATCAGACTCAGTTCCTCTAGAAAAGCAATTAACTGGGAAATCATCTTTCTAGGTCCAAAATTAATTTTAATTGTGTGTTTTGACTCCAAATTACCAAAAATAATTCTACATGCAAATGACATAAGAAAAATGTCTATGTGTTCTATTATCCTGTCCTTGTTCTGGTGCAGAGAGAGCAACGTGCTGGGCATTGTGGGGCTTAGTGACTCAGCCTTAAAGTCTTTTCTGGGGAGGCAGGACGTTCCGGGGGCTCTAACACCGGTGTTGCCCTACCTACCTGCCTCATGGCCCGCACCAGCTCTGGGGTCTAGTT